CAGAGCCGGCGCCCTCGCCCTTATTGGCTGCCGGGCAGGGAGCATGCGCTGTTGTCCTCTGCCCTCCGCCTCCTTTATCCCGCCTCGGCGCTGGGTGGGTGCGAGCCCCGCCGGGAGCGAGGGATTTGTCCTTCTCGGACTAAATCGCTTCTTAAACAGACGCGACTAAAAGCGGGGGCTGCGTTTTAAGAGCCTGTATTGGGTGTGCAGGCGGCGGGTGGAAGGTGTCACCCGCGGATGGTGGCTCGGGTACAGAAATTGTGAGTTCTGTGCACGCAGTGTGTGTGGTGTATTGTGGAATAGGCCTGTACACCTGCAAATAAACCGTGCCGTTCTTGGATGGTTTGTGTAGATAAACTGCGTCTTCAGTTCAATGGGAAAATGGCCATTTATTGTAAAACGACAGCTAGAACCACGTTCCATGAGCTTTGCAGACTGGACTTAATGAAGGAAGTTTGAAGTGTGGCTGGGGCCCTAAAACAACATTGATCCTTCACCAGTTTCACCTTTTAAAATAGCAAATATTCTTAGATTTCTCTAATAACCAGTTTTACATTTGCTTTTAGCTTTTTTTTTCCTATATTGTAACGCTACGATCTCAGTAATCTGTTGTAAGACTGTGACAGAATACCAAAGCACAACTTGTCACGCAGTAGCGCTCCCTAGTTTAAAATGATGTATTTTCAATAAACGTTAATGAAAGGATTTAGAAGGTATTTCAGGAAAAGAGTAATTACAGTGGAACACTGTTGATGAGCTTTATACATTTACGGTGTCTGATCTTGGCCTCTCCCTTTTAAACCATCTAATTAAGCGTGCAAATGTTTTTGAGTAGTAGGTATTTTTATGACCTCATGATTGTCAAAACACTAGCAATGCATGTACTGGTAAGATCTGTCTGTGATAGCAAGGGCTTAACAATCTCTTTGTTCTGTCTTAGGTAACCCTATTACATACTTTGTTTTTTAGAGAACTTTACATATTATTTTATATTAAAACTTCATCAAGTCTCTTCGTAGTGCCTTTAGCGCTATGACTAATACTTGTTATGTTACTTCTCGTTCTTTCTCCAAGATGCGTAGATAGATGTGAAGTGGAATATCTTGGTGTTTTGGTAATTACAGAATCATTTGCTGAAATTTGGAGTCATTTTGGGGTTATTTTCATCAGCAGGTTAAGTGTGTGTTTAGTTCTTTGAATTTGGAACAGAAGGTAGTGAAACCTGCAATGATTTTTGGCTTGTCTGCCCATCCACAGAATTAAACGGCCTGTCTTTAGAAAATTCCACCTTCTGTGGAAGCTCTCGTGTGCTCTGTGAAGCTTCTCACGGCAGACGAAGGTAGATGTGGACTGAGATGGTGATCTGTCAGTATGGGCCCGTCTTTTAGCTAGATGAGGACTGAGAATATGAGGAGATGCTTGGTGTAGAAACTAGAAGACGAATTTTGTGAGCTGCAAGGAGACGGGATTGCTGAAGAGATACACTACAGTGTCGTTGCCAGGTCAATACAGAAGCTTCAGGCACGGGCACGTAGCATCACCGTAGTCCTGCTAAGGGAGCAAAATAAAACTTCAGTAGGTAATTTGCTCCGTTTCATAAAGTCGTTGCCAGGTCAATACAGAAGCTTCAGGCACAGGCACGTAGCATCACCGTAGTCCTGCTAAGGGGGCAAAATAAAACTTCAGCAGGTAATTTGCTCCGTTTCATAAGCTTGACATGTACAGAACGGGGTGGAATTTGCACCAATGCTCCCTGAAGAACCACACCAAGTTCTTCAAACAGCAATTCAGGCAGACAAGGAGGAAGCGTAACTGTTAACTGGGTTGCTCCGAGTGCCTGGGCCCTCGACTGCGATATCCCCAACACCCTACCTTACTGTTGTCACCTGTCACTTTGGTACTCCTGTCTCTACAGTACCTAGAAATACCATTTCCTCGCATTATACCGCTTCCTTCTCTTGCGGGACTCTGATTTGCCTGTAAACCGGCAGAGATTCGTTTCCTTCCCGCAGTCTAGACACTCCTGTGTGCTCAGCCACCAGCTTCCCGCTGCCCTGGGGTCTTTCTGGTGACAGGCTGGGCAGGCCTGGAGGTCCAGCTCACGGGCTTCTACAAAAATCTGGTTTCAAGGTCCTCTTCCGAAAATGCAAGGCCCCATGCAGGTGCTGCGAGGTCCACTGCAGCCTGCGGAGAGTGGTGGGCAGAGTCGGGGAGGGCTGGGAGCGAAAAAACAATGCATTGCTTCATGTTTTGCTTTTCTGAATTAACTTGACAGAAGGCATAACGCTGAATCTGTTATGTATATATATAAAATGTATATTGTGCTGTACATGTATGTATTGCACTGTGCTTGATCTTAGCCCTGAGGCCAAGAAGCAGTACATCTATGCTCCTGCGATGGGAAGGTATGAGGGCATTCCCAGCGTTAGAAGAGAAATTTTACTTATTTTTAATCGTTTCTAATGCCTCTTAACAGTCACTTCTGGCGGGCCACACGGGACCTCGCCGCCCGCGTCCTTGCTGCTGTGCACGCCCGAGTCTTGCGAGGCGATGCGGAGGCTGCTCGCTGCCACTCCTTCGCGGGTTCGCCCGGAT